GCGCTCCTCCCTGTCCCCCATCCCTGCTCCTGCCTGCGTGGTGGGAGCAGCTTCCAGCAGGCACAGGGAAGGTCTGGGCCGCGAGGCCGGGGGGCACATAGCAGTGTTCTGTTCCATGCAAACAATAGCATTAATGAGGTACGTCCTGGGAAGAGGGCATAAAGTAGACACAAACCAGCTGTGCCTCCAGTTTCATACTGAATTGTCATATAGCCCTTTTGTGTCATTCCTAATGTGTTCCACAGGGCTCTTCATAAAGCTTTCAGATGGGAAGAACAATCCCTGCTGCGTATATACATTGCAATTTTCATTAACTAATTTTGCCTTCATTTTCTCATCCCCTAAACTTTTCTCTTCTGTGATTGATTTTTCTATTGTAGCAGATAAAAAAATGATGGCCTCAGCATCCACAGCGGGAAACCAGCAGCTTTACTCACAGGGAAGCCCATTTCAGCCAGGACATTCGGGAAAGACTTTCAGGTACTGTGTAGTCCAGATCCCGAACATATCAGCTTCTTTCTGATAGTGGAGGACTGTTCCTCTTCAGTCTGGTGGAAACTAAACTGTCCTGAGGTGCGAGGGGCTGACTTTACGTGAATGAGCTTTGCTTTGTGTTCGCTTCACTCCTGCGTGGTCTCAGCCCTTAGGGTAGGCTTGCAAGTTGAGATGATTTCGGTATCTCTGTTCAAAATAGTGGCTGGTAAGTAGATACTTGTTGCTGTGATGATGTAATTGGGAAGAAGGCTAAGAAGCAGCAACAAATCATGAAGGGAAATAAATCTGAGTGGTAATGGGGCAGGCTCAGAGGTCCGAGGCACATTCAGCCTAGCTAGGAAGTGCAGAGACTTGCTTTGCACTTAGAGCTGTCAGTCCTTCTGCAGGCTGCCTTGAAGGGCATCACCCTGGACACCATACTGGAGGGAACGGAGAGATGCTTCATCCATAGTCCCTGGTGAGGGGTGGGACACAGGCATGAATAGTTTTCCAAGGCAGCTTCCAAATGCAAATGAAGTGGCGGTCAGGCATTTTCCAAGGCATTTTTGAGTTATTCAGAGTGCATGTCATTGCCTACCAGCTGCCAGTACAGATTTGGCTAGTCTGAAGTTTACGTTTTCAGTTGCTTTTTGCGAGTATGGTAACAGTGATTATATTTACCTTACTGCCTTTCCTCTCACCTTTCTGGGACTGTGATTCTGAAGTTTCCTTCTCCTGTTTTAGACCAACCAAGGTTGTGAAAGTGAAGGAACAGCCATTCAGAGGCTGTCAGTTCCAGGAATTAGAAAACATCTGCAAGCGATAATTTTATTTAAACCAATGTGTCCTTAAAGTTATGATTGCTGATAATCTCAGTGGGGAGAAATAAAATCCCTGTGTGTGTGTGTTGTCGAATTAAAACCAAGAATAACTGGGGGGGGGGGATATGACAATAAATTAAAATGTCTTTTAATTGGATATTGTATATTACTGGATGGTTGACTTACCATGTTGGGGTTTGGCATGTGTTTTGTTAGTTTCCTTTGTTAATTCCTGACGTTTAACTGTGGCTTTTTTCCTACTGCTCTTCTATTACATCAAGTAATGACACAGCTGCAGCATTTCCACCCTCGATGACCTGTCCTCCCTCAATGCTCTTCGGGCTGGTCCATTCTGTTGCTGAGCCTGGGCAGCCTTCAGGCAGTACTTTGCAGACTCCTGATGTCAAAGTGTATTATCCAGATGCTGTCCGAGCCCCTTGGATGATGGGACTCGCCAGTCCAACTGGGAAAGGGTCAGCAGTAGGGCCAGCCCTCCCCGGCAACTGTTGTGTGCTTCCGAGCTCAGCCAGATTTAGATGGGCTTTCTGGTCCATATTTCCTTCTTTGGAGACTCTGTGGTAGTGAAAGTTAAAACTAAAATTAAAAGAATAGAAAACAAATTCTACAAAGAATTTCTGAACACACACTTTGCTTTTAGGGAGCTTAAGAAAGACAGAATAACAGCTCCCGAATTCAAATGCCTGCCATGTTTTGCTTTCTGCTCTGGGAGGGGTTTTGTCAGGCTTCTGAGAGGATCCAGATTCCTGCACCCTCTCTGCTCAGCCTCGTTTACATCTTTTCCCAGTCTGCCCTCTTCTTTATCTGTAAAATGACCCTGGAAATAGACAGTACGGAAGGGATTGGAGAAAAGAGCAAGCTGTTTCAATAGATGCACAAAAGCATTTTTGTATGTTGTGTCTCCATTTATATTCATTTATATCTGACAAGTAAAATAATCGATGCATATTTTTATATAAGGACATATAAAAGCACGTTCACAGTGTGTGGTTGCATAGATTCAGTTCTTCAAGACTTCCATGAGAATAAAATTGTAAAGTGGAGCAGTCTTTCATAAAATTTTCATTCTAATGAGGAATTTCTGGGAAATTTCTCTGGAGTGAAATTCAGTAATTAGGAAACAGCCAATGTATAAACAAGTTCCTTTGGAAATGCTTTTTTGGTTGGTTTTTTTTTTCATTCCAAAGCTATTACATTAGTTTCAGTTTTTGTCTTGATTATTTTTTGCCTTGGTATATAACTGCATGTACTTTTTTAGCATTACCTGGTGAAAATGGGAATTAAAAGCTCAAATTTTTAGTATATAGCACACACTTCTTCATTTGCCAGGCAGGAAACAAATAAAGAAGCACTTACACGTATCACCTTTTTGTGCATCTTCATTTAGGATGGCATTTAAGCAAATACTCCCGACTTTAAGCACACATTTAAAATTAAGTACCTGCCTGAGTACTCTCTGCAAGCAGTTTTTTTAATGCATTAAATGCTAAACTAGTATGGAGCTAAGTGTTTATGCACCGTGTGTTAGACTGATTTTATTCCTGCAAGCTCTTTCAAAGAGATTATAGGAGTCTAATTCAAAATAATTTTGCTCTGTGTCTGCTTGAGCTGACATTTGAGAACGCCAATATGTTTCATAGTTTTGTGATGGCTTAAAGTCATTTTTATTAAAACAGATTGAACAGTTAATATGAGTATCAAAACCTCCCTATCTGGAGTACTGTTTGTGCATCGAGAATATACCCTACAAACGCGGCACTGCTTCTGTTCCTCTAGTTCATCCGTGGTACATGTGCCTGGCGTGAACGACATCCAGTCTTCCTCATCAACGGGCCAGAATCTGACACAGATCTCTCGCCAGCTGAACCAGAGCCAGGTTGCCTGGACAGGAAATCGCCCACCATTTCCAGGACAGGTATTGATTAAAGGTGTTTTATTTTCGTGGTCATTCTCATTCACTGAGGACAAATAATATGAAATGATCATGTTTGACCTTTCATTAGTGCTGCTCCTAATCACTTGTGACTTTCTGTTGTTTGGTAGGCTAGAGTGGCATGTTGGGGTGGGCACTAAATAATTTTTCAGTAACTGAGTCATTTCCACATTAATCACGGATTCTTCCCAGCCCTCCGTGTGCCATGGTTATTGTCACACCTGTTTGATGAATCCAGTCAGAACATTAACTTGGGTTTTTTTCAGTGATACAGAGGATGCTAAAAATGTCTTTAAAAAGATTACTCATCCCTCTTAGTGACCAAATGCTGTCCAAGTGAACAGAGTTTGCATGTGACTGTAGGGCAATTGGAATTCATTCAGCCATCGTAACCAATGTAAAGCAGAGTTACGCGTTGTGGAAGGGACAAGTCGCGTCTCGCTGTCTCCCTTGGGAAATGTACGATTTGTTAGCTTGGAATTGAGCTGAACGCTTAACGGCATCTTTGCCGCGTTGTGTACCTGGTGGGATCTGCTTTCCTCCCCTGGCTCCCCTGCGCTTGTCCAGAATAGCTTCACTTGGGTGCATTGATTGCCAGTTACAGGGCACATCATTAGAAGTATCCAGAGATGCAATCACCTTTAATTTCTATTTGTGGAATTGGTTAGGCACTGAGTTTTTCTTGGAACTGCTGGATTTGTTCATAATGTGGGAAACAGTTTCTAAGCAGATTCTGTCTGCAGCGTTACACACTGCTGTGGCACACGGCTTTGGATGAGACACCTCACCTCCCTCAGCCCCAGTGTACACGCTGCACATGGCTCGAAGCCCTCTGCAGTGTTTAATCATTTGTGTAACAGTCTTGGAGATCCTGTGACGAAGCTGTTGTGTAGATGAAAATGACAGCAAGTTGGTTTTTAATACCCTGGAATTAGCTGCCCAGTTAAAGCTGCTTCCAGGGCTGGTGATTCCCACTCCCTCCCAAGCCTTTTCCAAGGCAAAATAACTTTGCTGCCTGTGCTTCTTGGTCAGGGAGAGAAAGCAGCTCATTAGCTTTGAAACTTCTTTGACTGTTGACCTCCAAACACTGGAGACGCTGCTCATCTCAGAGCTGCATATATTCTGCAAGACTGTTCAGGTCACTGTGATTCTCCTGTGGCACTGCAGAATCGGAACACCTGGCAGATAAAGGTGAACTCTTTGTACCTGTTCAGTTTGAGACTAGTCCTTGTAATAAAGGTGAAGGAAATCATGTTTTTCCAAACAGCACTGACACTGAGTACATGTCAATTAATCCGCAGGAGAGCTGTACGTGTGGGTTTGTAGTCTGTGTTGCTCCTTGTGCAGCAGGAAGTTGGCTTTGACAGAGATGAAACGTGGCTGAGGCAGGAATAACGTGCCTGTTCGCATCTGCAGTTTCTGTAGTCTTTGCTTTATGTTGTTAAAGTGAGTCTGCCGTGCTGTTCCCCAGCAATAAAATTCATTCCTTCTTTCACCCTTTATTCCTCAGCAAATTCCAGCTCAGTCTGGCAAGGCTCAGTCATCTCCCTTTGGGATCGGAACGAGTCACACCTACCCAGCTGATCCATCGTCATACAGCCCCCTTTCCAGCCCAGCCACCTCTTCCCCCAGTGGGAATGCCTACTCCAGCTTGGCAAACCGAAGTGCAGGGTTTGGTAAGTCTGGAACGGGGTAACCCAGAAACGCACGTGAAAACAAACCTCTCTACGCCATGGAAAGTCCTCCAACCTGTTTTTCTGGTGGGGAGCTTGGGAAGCCCGGGTGGTGAGGGGGTTTGCTTTCCTCTGTTGCACACATGGATAACATGTTCTCTCCATGTCTCCACATCCTAACACTCTTCAGAATATGGTGGCATTTTATGGTATGAGGGAGCTTTTTTTTTTCAGTAAATGGTGTCATGAAAGATTCAGAAGTGGCTTACATCACTAGTACATGTCCTCCCACGTTGTGGTCAGCGGGTTCAATTTCTTTTGACTTCCCAGGCAGTCAAAATGACTTCTTAAAAGGCCCAACTTTACATTCTTTTCACTTCCCAACTTCCTTGGCTGCATGGCGGTGTCCTCTTGCCCAGAGATGGAGCTTGGCTGGGCACAGGATTTTTTTGTATCCCCACTGCTACTAACCTAAGCAGAGCAGGTGCCATGTTTTCAAATGGTTTTCTTTTCCTATTGCAAGCTAATCTAGTGACTTTCAGACCATGACCCAACAGGTAACCCCTTGGTAAGTTTTCTGCGCTCCCCCAGCAGGATAATATTCAAGAGTAAAAAAATATTATGGATCCATCAGTGATAAACATACATGCAGGCTGTGAAGAATGTCCCTGGCAGAAAATAGCGTGCAGTTCCAGAAAGCACAGGTAGCAGTGTGCTGATGCGTGTCATTTTGTCCCTGGAGAGCAAAACCGGCGTGGACCCAGGTTAGCCTCGCCGAGGGCAGACCTGCGTGGTGTTGCCTTCACAAAGTGCATGGAAACGGAGCTCTTCCCACAGCGCTTGTCCATGCCTCCAATTCCGTGTCCACCAGGCTTTGGACATTGGGTTATGAGACAGCCTTGCATTTCAGGCCGAAGCTACTTGGCAAGAGCCCTTTCACCTAATGAGAAATGTTTCCTGACCTACATCAGTTTGGATACTATTAATAACCCAGCCTGCGCAGAGAGGAAGGTCTTGAACCTCCGGCTGGCAGCGAGCATTTCGCTGAAAAGAAGCATCGTTTGCCTCACGGAGTTAATTTCAGTGTATTATTCTGAGAAAAAAAAGTAACCAACCACAAACTTGCAGCTTTCTTTTAAAGGGTAACTTAGCTGAATTTTTGTTTGGCCCGTAAGATGGCTGCAGGGTTTCTGAGTCAGCTGAATTATTGGTTGTGGTAATGTCAGTAAGGGAAGAGCTGTAATTATCTACTCGAGATGTGACAGAAGTACATCACTGCGGCCTCTTTACCTTCCTGTAAAATGTTGGCTTTGCCTGTTTTGCATGGGTTAGCTGGTAGCCAAAAGGATTGGGTTTCTGTGTTTTCTGATGCCACGACTATGAGTAGCGACTGATCTGACATGATCCGAGTCTGGGTATCGGAGACCTAATGGTAGCCTGTGGAAGTTTGGCATGGAAAGTTTGGCACTCTTGGCAGAGGGTGCTGATAACTGGGGAGAACCAGATCTACCCAGCTTGGCACTCTGCAGTGAGTGGGAAATAGGTGAAAAAAGTAGGAGCAGTTACATAGAAAAAAGGGGGAAATGGGGGGGGAAAAAAAAAAAAGGAGAAAATGTTTGGAGGAAAAGCACAAGCCTGGTGGCAAGCTCTCCATAAGGCTGATCCTTAGAAGGAGAGATTGTAAACAATTGAAGGAAAATTATCCAAAACTTGTATACGGTTGGGGCCAGTCTGTAGAAATACAGGGTCAGATGAGTCCAGTTTAAGTGTGGCTTGTGGCTGTACGCACAAAAAGTGAAATAGGTGGCGAAATGGATGTGTGTGACGTCATGGTTTTTTCTGGTAGACTATCTAGAAGAAATTCATCTCCCTGAAATCATCATTTGAAGTGTATTTACCATGAAACCTTGCTGTTCACGTTACTCTGTGAAATTTCAGCGGGCTCATACTTTTAAGACACCATCACCATACGCACAGCATAGTAATTTGCTGTGAGTGCCTGTTGAGTGAATCACCTTGCAGCTGTAACGTTGGAAGACAAGATAGTGCAGCAAACAACACCCTGTGCTTAATACAGCAGCACCTTCATTTAACAGAGCGAGGCTGTTGTCTCCTGGTGGTACTTGGTTTCCACCTGCTTCCAAAAGTCGTACGACTGCTTACATGCTGCTTAGCTGAGGAGTTGACCGGGCACCCACCGCTCTGCGAGACTTAGTCCTGTAAAAAGAAAGAGAATTCAGACCATGCAGTTTGGTTTTCAAATGAAATGGAAAATACTCCGTATTAGAGATTAAAAAGCAGTGGGGGGATGCTTGAAAATTGTCTTCCAGTGCCTGGCTTTTTTTGCCAGGGTGTTGCTGGGAGCAATTCACCTGCTGCACCGTGCAGCCACGGCAATGAGCTTTGCCCTGGGGTCAGCCCCCACCCTGAAATCAGGGCTGAAATCCCTTCGTTTTCACCCCACAGGGGCTGGGTGTCACTTGGGGTCTGTTCCTAAGACTCACGGGCAAACCTGGGCGTTGACGGGTGAAGCCGCAAAAGCCAGCGGGTGTTTTGGAGGAGCTGCTCTCTGACTTCTGCCCTTTCTCCCCCTGCCAGCTGAAGGTGGCCAGAGCAGTAGCCAGTTCCAGGGGAGACCTTCCGAAGTCTGGTCCCAGTGGCAGAGCCAGCATCACAACCAGCAGAGCGGCGACCAGCATTCGCACCCGCAGCCCAGTCAGACCGAGGTGTTCCAGGTGAGGGGAGCGCAGCCAGCCTGAGGTCCCTCTGGCCACTTGTCACTGCCGAGTTGGAGAACCGTGGCCTTCAGCGACCGGGGCGCTCAGGGCTCGGAGCAGCGGCCTCTTGCTGTGCGCTGCTCAGCTGGGGGGTTTGCACTGCTCTTCGCTACAGCTGAGATGGCTTTGTTTTCTGCCAAAGAACACCATCATTGCTGATTTGAAATGCTGTTTTCCCTTCTCTTTGCCACCCAGTGCTTAGGGCTTACGGGTTTGCGGGGGAGCCGTGAATAGTCCCAGGGCGAATGTCTGTCTTATCCTGGCGCTGGCCTCTAAAATCCCAGTCAGGTCTCATTAGACACCAGTGTAATTCCCTGATGGTTCAAGCAGGAAAGGAGTCTGATACTGCACAGAAGATAGTGGCCGATCATCTTTTAAGGTTAAACACAGCCAGGTATCAAATAGCTGGTAAATAATCTTTTTCAACTACCTAACTTCATAATATTAAGTATAATTTCAGGCCTTCGCTACAGATGGAGTGGGACTTTATAAGTTAACTAGTAAGGTGTCTATCCTCATATAACTTGTTTTTAAATGAGATCAAGAAGACAGTTTGCTACAAAACAATGCAGATAAAAGACAGTTCAAGCCCCAAGCAAGGTTTAGAAGTGGGGCACCTCATTATCTTTTAGAAAGTAAATTCACCTGCAAGACCGGGCTCGTGCTCAGTTGCTTGCAGTAATGCTGCAGAAGAGACGTTACCCTGAAAATATTCTTGTGTGAACGAACCATCACTTCTCACAGGGACAAATAACATCACGGCATCTGGAATAACTGCCTGTCTGCACGCTCTTACCCCGTGGCCCAGGCAAGATTAATCTGTGGTATCTCTCTGTTAGCAAAGATGAATCGCTTTGCATGTACTTGAACCCAACGCCTTTTGGAGGTGACCATGAATGTGGAGGGAATTAGGATAATAGCTGGAAGTGATGATAAACTTGGATGTTCAAAGGCTTCCAAGAAGGTTCTTGGACTGCTGGCACCTAAAGCCAGCCCTGGGTTAGCTGGACGTAAGGAGAGAAGCAGACTCGAGAGGGGAGCTGCCCTGCCAGGTCTGAGGAGACTGTGCCTCACAGGCCCCCAGCAGCAGAAATGCCTTCAAAGAGATGGAAATTTAAACAGGCAAGGGCAGCTACATCTTCCCCTTGGCTGGGGGTGAATGTGGGAAAACACAGGTGCAAGTTCTGGTCAGAAAATGAAGGCTGACCCTGACAGCTGAGCAACTGCCAGTGGTGTTCACGGCCTCTTTTCCCACCACCAGCAGCAATGCTACAGACCTCGGAGGGATCTTAATCTGTCCTTGTTTTGGGGTAACTTCTCGGTGCACAGCAGTCCTTGGTAGTTATTCCTTCCCAGAGCAGATCCTGTGCACATGCTTATTCGCTCTTTAGGTTTTGTTTTCTTGTAAGGATAATGAGCCATCCCTGGCAAAACTTGGCTTTGCAGCAGGAGCTTGTTATTGTAAGGGCTGACAGGAAAAGCAAGCGCAAACCCTGGTTTTCTCAGCAAGGGATATCTTTTCCCTGTGGCTTCAGTCTCCAGCTGAGAGGAAGGGTTGAGTATTTTCCGAGGCCTCCTGCAGGGCCCTCACTTGGCTCAAGCCACGTGGGAGCGATTACCATCAAATCCCACTTCTCCTGGGAAGTTCCTGCTATTTCCTCTGCCTCTGCACACGCGTGAAGGCTGCTTGTGCATCTTGTTAGCTGGGGGGATGCCCAGTTTTTAGTGTCCCTCAGGGGACGACGAGCAGTAATACGTTCACTTACAGCATGCGGGTGAGGAGGTGAGACCCTCCCCAAACCCGTAGTGATGGAGCGTGAGCTCCTTTTCCGTAGGGGGCAGGTGTGCCCCGTTGAATACTCCCCGTCTAGTGAAACCAGAGAGCTTGCTTCTCTCCAGTGTAGCTGCCCATTCCGAGGGGAGCTGTTTCAGCCTGGGAGGAGTGCGGGGCAGCTCAAATGTGCCTTATTCAGCGGAGCAACACAAAACCTCTGCCCTGCTGAAGTCCCACCTCCCACTGAGAAACACTCCAGCAAAACCTAAATAGCACATACACTCGGCCCAGCCCCCTGCACAGCTCTGGTGTTCACGTTATTTATGCAACCTTTGGCCTTTCCTGGTTTTACGCGGAAAAGGTGAGCAGGAAACAGTTTGTGTCTGGATAATGTGCTGGCAAGTGACACTTCACTTTGATTTTTCCTTATCGTGCAGGACATGCTGCCAATGCCGGGGGATCCGACGCAGGGTACCGGCAACTACAACATCGAGGATTTTGCTGACCTGGGCATGTTCCCACCGTTTTCCGAGTAGCTTGCGAAGCAGAAATGGAAGTTCTTCTCCAAGGCCATTTCAGTGTAATTTTGGCTCTGCTTTCTCTGTGTTGCATTTCTGTAGAAGCTACTAAAACCGAAGACACATTTCTTGTGTTTCAGATAGTGGTGTAGGGCTTGCTCTCTCCTCCTTGGCGTGTGTCAGTGCCGACAGAGGAGCTCCAGCACTTGGTAGTGTTCATTGACAGCTCCATTTATTGTTTTTTAATCTTCTTGTCATCTACCTCAGAGATGAAAATCTTTGCTTGATTTAAAAAAGAAAAATCTCTGAGTCTTAAATATTTGAATGTGAATGATACCTAACATTTCCCTTGAATGGTAATTTTTAAATAGATAACGAAGTAACAAAGACTAACAGAGAAGAGGTAAGGTAATGTCCTGTTACAGTGCCTACCGCTCAATTTTGATGCCTTGCTTTAAGCTTAAGTTTCTGGAAGCAGACACAATATTCTGGGTTTTTTTGATTGTTGTAGTTTTTAGGTCACTTTAAATGTGAGATTAAGGAACATAATGTAGGCCTCTCTCACCAGAAGGTTCAGCTTTGCCTTTTCTAACTTAAACTTGAATGTGTGTACATTTTGGTACTTTATGTATATCTTAGAATCACAGAATCGTTTAGGTTGGGAAAGACCTTTAAAATCACTGAATCCAACCGAAATCTTGTGCTATATGCAGTGATTTCCCACACTGGTTTCTTTGGCCTTTACAAAGGGTCCGTTCTGGAGTGTACTGAAAAGTTTGACAACATATGTGGAGGATTTAGGTATCGTGGGAGCTTCCATCACTTCACATAGGTGTTCTTACTTTTAGTTCAGGAGATTCTCTATTCAGAACAAACATTTACTTACATAAGCTATTAGTCTGGTTTTGCACTGAATTGAGGCCTATGACTCTATACATTTCTCACTGGCTGCTTTAATTTCTATTGTTCTTGCTTTCCCAAAAATATTGCCTCATAAAAAATGACTGTAAACGCATCAAGATTGCATTTTTCTATATCAGCTGCGGTTCCTTTCTGTGAAGTACTTTTTTATACTGTGAAACCTCACATTTTAACAGTGCAAGGTGGTGGCCTATTACTAGGAGATCCTTCAAGCTCATTTGCCGCAAGCAGTGAGATGGTTTTGTAGTGTATAATTTTTGTAGAATGAGTTGGTAATCGGTATCAGTTGGACTATTGTCTACTGCGTACACAGTGATAACTTGAATTTTTGCTTGGATTCCCAAGCAGTCGCTTCTGTTAAACCCTGTTAACCCTACTCTGTCACATATGGGATTTTCAGCTTACTGGGTACGTTGAGGAGTCTTGACGATTCTGAATGCTATACGCTTTTCCGCAGAGGTCAGTTAATCACCCTCCTCTTGGGCGAGTCACCTACTGTAGGTCTTCATCAGAAATGGGGTTGGAAGGTTTTTATTCAGTATCTCATACACATGAGGAGTTACAGGGGTTGGTTCAGCATTTTTATCCAGAGCATTTCTTCTGGCATGGGAGGAGGAGGAGTCGCTCACGAAGGAGAAAGAGCCCAGAGTTCCTGCGTGCAGGTGGCTCATAACCTTTAGGTTGGACAGTGGTAGCCGGCCTTTGCAGAGGAGGAAGGGGGCAGCTTCCCCCAGATTTTGCGTATTCAGGGGCCGTCGTGGACCTTGCAGCAGCAACCCCAGGGCATAGCCCCCATCTGGAAGATCTCGGTGTCCACAGTGATTCTTAGACCTCACAGCGCCAAGGTCTGCCTTCGAGTAGCTCCTCTGGAATTCTGGGGTGCCTTCCGACGGGAGGCACCGTCCACATCGCCGCAGTCCCTCATGTTGGGACGAGAGCTTGGAAAGCGGGTAGGCCCCTGCCCTGGCCACACGGGTTTGATGGTGACGAGCCATGCGAGTCAGCCGTGTGCTGATGCTCCCAGCCAGGGGTGCTCGCCCAGCCTCCTCCAAGAACTGCGTGTAGTTCTCAGTACCCGGGAAGAGTACTTCCTACTGTTTCTCTCACTAAATCTGGGACCAATCTCTTACCCTATGTACAAATGGGGCTAGGGACTCTTTTTTTAGGGAATTTTTTTATATCTCTAGATGTGGAACCGGAGAAGCCTCAGATCTCCCGGTCTGTACTTGCCTCGACGAAGTCACGTCGAGAACAAATGAAAAAACCTCCTATCTCCTCTCCCGGAGACCAGGAAAATACCTTCTTAGGGGAGCAAGCCATGCACTTCCACCCTATTCTTCTCAATACATGGATGTTTATTCTCTTGGAGCCTTCTCCCTTTCCGCTCACACTGCTCGGCTGCACGGCTGCTTGTTGAGTTAGGTGGGCAAAGCTCGGCTGTCCCGGAGATGAATTCGAGGTGCGTGGCGTCAGCACAGTGGGGCGAGCTTTTGCAAGGGGCTGATCCAAAGGGACAGAGCAGTAGGTGAACAGTTTAGATCTCTGCTCAGAAGATGCTTGATGTGGTGTATGTCAGTTCTTCTCTAATTCTTAAAAAACATTTCTCCGTGAAGTGAAAATCGAGTTGAAAAACTGCTGTTCCCCTGGTTTATTTTACCCAACAAACTGCTCAAAGTGTATTTATAATTTAGCTTTGTTCCCAAATCCAATCTAAAAATGGGATTTTAAAGTAATTTTCTTTCTCCCAACATCAGCGACAATAACTTCCCTGGCGTGTCATGGCTTTTATACAGCTGGAGAAGCCTTCTGGCATACAGAATTCGGTTGTGCAGTTAGAAGTGTGCTGTTAGCAGAATTCCAAGCACATCTCTCTCTTTTGTTGCTGATTTTTTTTTAATAATGATTAAAACACAGTATTAATTTTTTGAAGCCAACATGCCTGAGGCATCAGAGCACGGACCGCTGCTCACCTTGTAGACCCCTCCTGCCTTTTCGGTTGGGAAAGGGGGTGGCTACTCTCTGACAGGGCAGTCCAGGTAGTGCCAGGTTTGGGTTTTCCCCGTGAGCCATTATTGCCCCCGTTTCTGCCAACCCAAGCCTGTGTTTTCTTCTTGGCGTTTCCACCCTTCCTTACTTCCCCTTCCCAGCCATCCCATCCCTGGGGGTGGGCTCTCTCCGTATGGGAGGCGTTGGGTTCCCGAGCCAGCGAGGAGGGAGCGCTTCGCGAGCTTCAAGCTTGGGAACTTTGTGCTTCCGGCCGAGCGAACGAGCAGGTCCAACGTTTGCTGCCGCTGCTGGGCATCGTGTGCCGCCGTCGTCTCAGTGGCTTGCTCCTCTGAAACAGCCCCGGCCTGGGTCTTGCGGCCAGAAAGGCTGCGTGGCATCGGCTGTGCTCTGTCTTTCTGTCACGTGTTTTGTCCCTAAAGCCACTTCTTACCCCGTAGCTGAAGCTGTGAGGTGCATTTGGAATGCTCCTGTTGCTATTACGTGCCGTTGGTGTAGCTTTGCTGGCACTTTGCCTGCCCGTTTCCTGAATTTCACAGGTGGTGGATTTCTCGCTTCCTTTGTGGTTTTTAAGCTCTGAATAAAGCTGGGATTTCCGCTCCAACTGTGTTGCAAATACAGATTTCTTGAAATGGAATCTTTTGGGTTTTAAACCAATGGAGCAAGGACCAGCAAATGGTAGTGGGCTGGGTGAGCTCTTTCACTGAGCAGGCATGTGGGCTGAGGAGGTTTTAGATCATAAAATTCTTTTCTTCAGACAAGCAGTGGTGTTCAACAGGAGGGACTCCACCACATCACGTGTTACAAGTGCTACCTGCAGTACCTACGGTGACGCTTTGACCGGATAGTTCCATTTGTAGCTGTGTTGCCTTTTTCTGTTCTTTTGAAGTGCAGTCCGAAACTGTAAATACGTCTTGCAGTACGGCCTTTTTAACTCCTAATTACTTTCGGCACGGCGTTAAATAGTGTTGGATTTACCCAATTGCTACGACATATATTTTTATACATAGGTGTACTCTTTTTTCGAGAATAATACAGCCATTTTGTCATTAATGCCTTAATGGTGTCATATTGCTGTTGCTCTTTATTTGCAAGGTATCGAGTGGACTAATCTCTAGCTCAGATATTTTCACTCTTTCTGACAGTGCTCAAGTTTGGCTTCAGGTGATTTTTTTTTTTGCCAGAGTCCCATTTTTCCCAGTTGTTAGCTGTGAGAATAGGAGAACACGGGCTTGGGTTTGTTTCTGTTATTGGAGCAAAGAAAAGGCAACGGCATCCAGTTGTCTTTAGAAGGTCAGTCTTTTCCTGCTCTAAAACGGAGTGCATTTCATGGAACTGACAACTGTGGGCACTGATTACTTTGTGTAGATTAATGGTCTTTAAAAAAAACGAAAACTACTCCAAAAATGGGCTTCTGTCATTGTTAGGCACTTGGTTACGTATCTGTTTAAACTCTTCATATTGATGTGAAATTGTGCTGTGGATAAAGTGTATTTTGTACTTCTGAATGTTCTATATTTATGACTAACAGGTACAGAATCAGTTGTGTGTATGTATAACTAATAACTGACTTTTTAAATCTCATTCAAATAAAAATGTCATGAGCTGTTGTTAATTCCCGTCTTTCTGTACATAAGATACGCTCTTGGGAAACATCAAGTAGGAAATAACCCTGAATTACAAGATTCGTGCCAAAAATTAGAAGATCAGTCATTGATCGTTGTCTTTGGAATCTCCTCCCGTGCACTGTGGTCAAGGATGGGAAGTTCCCCTTTTATCTGTGGCTGTGGCTGTCCAAGGGAGCGGGAGAGGAGTGAGAGTTTGAGATTTCAGCTTTTAGAAGTTGTTCCAGGAAAACACTGATTAACGGCTGTGTTGTGCTGAGGACGCCAAGGTGTGTGAGTCGGTATCTGCATTGTAGAGTTCCGTCAGAGCCCAGTTCATCTGTAGTTCATTCATAGTCTGTGGCGATTTTCATTCACTCCCTGGGCTGGTACCACAGCCGTTTCTTTGTCCACCTTTTGGCCTCGTCGTTCGAAGTTCAGTGCTTGTATCCTTCCCACAAACATTCTGGTGACCTTTTCAGACAGGTAAAGTGCATTTGCCTTTCACAGTGGTTCTTCACTGGTTTTATACTGTATTTCTTTGTCGACCTGGTAGTTTGTAAGTGGGATTTACCTTGTTAATAAATCCAGAGAGCCACGGCAGGAGCCGAAGATGTTGTGCTCTTGGGTGTGCACAGGGTAGGTGGTGTTTTCCCAGCCCATGCTCTGTTTCCAGGGCTCTTCTTGTGGAG